GCAATGTAGGCTTTTGACTGAAAAGGGGAAAAAGGTTAAAGATTGCAATATTGGCACATTTTGCTTGTATGACAGACTTACATCCTGAAAGAGATGCTGAAACTCCCGGTCACGAGTGGCCGGGTCGCAGAACTTGTCAATAGTCCACTCGTAGGTGTCCGGATAGGAGGAGAGACTTTCAGTGTCTGACTGGCGAAAGTTCTCCGCCACTTTGGAGTTGATAAAGTCGGTGTATGAAGTGGATGAGCTGCTGCTGTTGGAGACACTGCTGCTCACTTCGCGCTCGGCAGCGGCCACAGCCTTGCCAGCAGATGAGCTGCTCTGCCGCTTCTTCCGCTCATTCAGTATGATCAGCGAGTTGACTATGGCCAGGTAGGAGTTGTCCAGTGTCTGCAGGCTCTGACGGACGTCCTCGGCCAGCGCCTCCAGGCCGATCAGGTCAATGCCGGTGACGTAGTCAAGGTAGGCGTACTTTATGCGGTAGTCCACGCGGATGCGACGTTTCTCAGCGTTGAAAACCACCACTGAGGAGGAGGAGCTGGAAGTGTTGTCTTCCAGCGATTTGCTAACTTCTTTTTGGCAAGGTTGTGGCTGCTGCTGTTGTTTGGACTTTTCTTGCGGCTCTCCGTTGCTCTTTTTCTGTTGCGCCTCATCATTGGACTTTTTGCCCTTGTTTACGTAATCAAGAAATTCAGAAAACATAGTGACTTGCAAAAAATGACAGAATTTACCGGGTAAATCACTAATAAATAGCCGATCCAACAAACGGATTTTGTTTACTTTTCGAATGCTTGCGAATACTTTTAGAACAATAGTGCTTAACAACAGTCATCACAAATTCTCTTAAAGTTGCAGACACATCTTCTCAACGGTTGATGTTTATTCAGTTGTACACTTTAGTTTCAACAATTTCAATTCCTTTAGAATGAGTCAAAAGTCAAACACCCCTTCTGGTAAGAAGCAGAAGGACAAGAGCAGTAGTCTTCGTTCAGAAAAGAAGGAGCTTTCCTCAAGTAGCAAATCACGGAGCATCAGCAAGACACAGCTCAGCAAGTCTTCCTTCGATCCTCAGTGCTCTAAACAACAAAGCTCCATTCCGTCAACTTTGAGTCCCTCAAGTGGAATCAGGTCGTCCGTGGGTGATCACCTCTCCAAGTCATCTCCCAAGGCACGTAGCACCATAGTGCCCGCGTACAGCACCAACCTCAAGAACTTGCAACGAAACATACAAGGCCGCAGCTCTTCGACCACTAAAACCCGCGAGAAGAGCAAAAGCGAAAGCGGCAAACCAGGGGTCCGACTGGGAAGTCGATTGCGCACAGATCCGAGAACTATGAAACGCAATGACAACATTCCAATGGAGGCCTCGGCGGAGAACACCTTCGAGCAGACGCCGGTGCAGTCGAGCAGCGTTTCATCATCAACAACACCTGCATCAACTGCAAGTCCTCCTCAACAGGCCACTNCGCCGGTGCAGTCGAGCAGCGTTTCATCATCAACAACACCTGCATCAACTGCAAGTCCTCCTCAACAGGCCACTCTGGACAGTTCCCTCACTGCGGAGGCCATCTTCAATGAGGATGTGCTCGCTGAGTTCAAGACCAATGTGATGAGCTGCCTGGCGGGCAGGTACTGCGATCCGGAGCAGTTTTTGAAGCCAACACCGCCGGCAAGTGACGGTAACTTCCTCACGAGACACGTAGACCCTGAGAAGCTGATCACATTGATGGTGAACCACATGAGGACGTACTACAACCTGAGCAAAGACAAGGACCCTTTCAGCAGCGCCCGCCAGGAAATGGACAACGCCCTCTGGGACAGTTTAGCCTTCATTATACCGATGCTCTGTCGACAGGTGATCCACGTCATGCAAGATGAGGTTAGTTCTGCTCTTTAAAACGATAAACAAATTGACACAGAATAAATCTTTTTCCTTCTAGCCCATGATCATCACTGAAATCGAGCCTGATGTGGTCGTTTTCGGCGACATTCACGGCAACTTCAATGACATCTACTACATCTACGAGAACATCATCAGCAGTGCCAAATACTCCAACAGCCGTTTCCTCTTTCTGGGAGACTACGTGGACCGCGGCCCGAAGCCGGTGGAGGTGTGCTGCTTCCTCTTTGCCCTCAAACTCTCAGCTCCCAAACGTTTCTACCTGCTACGGGGAAATCATGGTGAATAGAAAAACAAAACAAGCACTCATTAGCATTCTAATCAAAACAACCACTCCCGCAGAGATTCTGAAGATCAACCGGAAGTACGGCTTCCAGCACATGTGCAGTCACCTCTTCCACGACACGTACGTGATCAAGCCGTCGACGTTGGCAGAGCTGGTCTACATGTCCTTCAATCGAGCCTTCTGCTTCATGCCTGTGGGGGCGGTCATCAAGGCCAGTGGTAGTGGTGGTAGTAGTGGAAAGCGAATCTTCTGCTGTCACGGCGGCGTGCCGTCCTACTACAAAGAGAGTGCAAGAAAAGGAGAAGGAAGTAGCGGCAAGGGAAGCAGAAGAAAGTGCCGAGGCGAAGAGATGGAGAAGGGCTGGTCGATTGCCAGCCTGAATGCCGTAAGTAAGCCGGCCAGTCTGGCGCCCAGCAAACGCGGCACTCCGGCGGAGCGCGCCTTCAATGAGATTATGTGGAACGATCCACTACCAAGCAAGCTCCGCAAGAAGAGCCGCTACCAAAAGCACAAGTACTACGTGAACCGAAAGCGCGGCGGACACTGCAACTTCTTCACCGAAAGCGGCCTGAAGGCCTTCCTGGAGACGAACAACCTGTCAATGGTGGTTCGCGGCCACCAGTTTCGGCACACTCAGCGGCGAGGCTTCCAGCACGACTTCAACGGCGCCCTGCTCACCGTCTTCAGCAGCAGCAACTACTGCGGCAGCGAGAAGAACAACACCGGATACGTGCACGTCAAGGGGGGCACTGACGTTCAGGTGCTGGCGCATACGCTGCGCAAGGCGAATGACGCAGAGAAGTATCGCGGCTTCAACCTCCTCAAGATTGTCGTCGACGAGCGCACCAAGGCGGTCACGCAGGTCGCCTTCTGAGCCCCTTCTTATCTGTTGTGTTCACTGTATTTTCCCCGTAGTAAACAGTTTGTCATCTAGCGATCTGTGTGATCATGCTTGTTGAAGTTGACAGTTGAAATCAAGTTTTACTTTTGCTAAAATCTGAAAAGCATCTGCAGTTGCTGAAAAGGTGTATGTCAATGTTTGTTTGGTGCTGGTATTGGCGCATGCATGCATCCGAAGCATCAGAGAATGCCCATCTCCTGGGCGACATCTCCCAAGAGAGTCATCATTGGCGTGTAGAATTCAGCCGATAGGACGTCTTCCGCCACAAACAGGCCCACCACTTTGGCGGGCAGCACCGCGTAGAGAAGAGGGTAGTTGGGGTAAGAGGAGGTGGATCTGCCATGGTCCCTCGATGCCAGTCTAGCCAGTACCTCCTTCAGGGGCATTCCACGAGCGGCACAGTTCTCTTCCTTCGCCTTCTGCTGCTGACTTGCCTCTTCTGCACTGCCAGCATTGGCGGACAGCCAGTTCCCGCTGTCCCGGTGCGGTACAAAGTTGACTGAAGTTTCAAAGGGGGTGCTCACTGACATTCGCTCCAGTGGCCCAATGCCCTCGGCTCCGTCCTCGTGAAAGCCGCTGTCATCTTCAGGAGGATTCAGCTGGAAGGTGCTGTTTCTGCTGCTGCCGAAATGCACGAGAAACTTGGCAAAGTTGCGGACAGTACTGCTCTGCAGATCGGTCACCGCCTCCACCGATGAGTTCGCCGCCTTGGACAGCTGTACTCCGTGCTTCACAGTGTCAACAATCAGCTGGGCGAGCAGCAGCAGAAAGGCCTCAGTCTGCGCTGGCTGCAACAGCTGCTGCTCCAGCTGTGCTTCCTCTTCCTCTTTTTCCTCTTCTTTGCTGACGACGCTGGCGGCGGCAATGACGGCGGCCAGTCGGCGCTGTCCCATCTGGTGGAGCTGGAGCACCTTCCAGGCGGCCACTGAGCGACAGCGAAATCGAAGCAAGTGGGCAAAGGCAGAGTAGTACGCCGAGTGCACCAGAACGGCCATCAGGTCGCTCTGCTCCGACGGTGGCAGGTGCTCAATGAGGAGGAAGGCCCCGTGAACCAGGTGCCAGGTGATGCGACAGTCGGCGGCATTGCAGCTGCAGTAGGCGCCTGATTCGTGTCCCATCTGAACTTGAATGCGCTTCCGCATCACCTCCATCAGTGGCTTCAGCAGCAGTGTCAACTGTGAGCTGTCGAGGAGGAAGGCCACCTCGTGGAATGACTTCATGCACTCCGCCTCGGTGTCCCTCGCCCGCAGCAGCAGCGCACTGAAGAGTGAACTGTAGAAGCGCCAGAAGTAGGGCCCCAGGGCGAGCAGCGTCATGGAGAAGTGGCTGGCGACGATGTGGCCGTGTTTGATGTGCTCCTGAATCGACTGGACGCCCAGCTGCCAGGAGAGCGCCAGCTTGACGTTCACAGTGTCCTTCACCGCCTCGTCCCACAGTGTGAACTTGGTGGAGTAGCCGGAGAAGCCGGAGATCTCGTACTCCTTCACCTCCAGGGAGAAGACGTGCGGGTCGTGGGCGCTCTCGGCGCCGTCCTCCGCCAGTCGAAACTCAAAGGTCAGCTGGCTGTTGTGGCGATTCATCTCCGTCTGCAGAAGGTGTGATGGGGAAGGAGTTAGGTTACTAATACCGAAGCGCCCACACCACACAGCATACTAACCGAAATGTCCAGTAACTCGCTACTGCTTCCCTGCAGTGGAACACGAAGCGGATAGTGAAAGGTGGTCTCCAGGCCGCCGCCCCCACTGGCGCTGTTTGTCGAGCGAATAAGGACACGTAGGCACTTGCCGTCGATGCGATGCTTGCCCCCGTCAGAGTGACGCGTCACCTCGTCGACGGTGATCTTCAGCTGACGCTGTAGTGTGAAGGCGTGCTTCTTGGCCATCTCGCCGATGGGGCGCTTGTAGTAGCGAAAGTCGGTGATGGCCGACTGCAGCGACAGGTTGAAGTGCTCCAGTCGGGAGGAGAACTCCTCTCGAAACGAGTCACTGTAGCAGTTCTTCAGCCAGGGCAGGTAGTGGGCGTCGAAGAGGACGGTGAAGACGTAGGCGGTGTAGTTCTCGTGATTCAGCGGCAGCGTCTCCACGCTCTGGTTGGCGGTGAATCCGTTGAGAATGGCCTCGTTCGACATTAACTTGGAGAGCACCTTCTGCTGCTTGGGCGGTGCTGCTTGGCGAAAGTTGTTCTGCAGATTGGTCTTTGGGCCGACCGGCGGCGGCACCAGCAGGCGTCGGTTGTAGCATTTTGCAACTCCCTTGTTGAGATACATAATTTGGTTTGCAACGCCGAGCAAGATTGAGGACACGTAGCTAACTATGACTGGCATCAAACGGGTAGTGATGTTTATTTGTCATTCACTGTTTCTATTTGCAAATGTTTTTTTCCAGTTCTATTTAGCAGTAAATTTAGAATTTAACAACTCTGCGAATCATGAAAATTACGACATCCTTGAGAGGAACACCTTCTCCGCCTCCTTGTAGTTGTCACAGTTACCGGACATCTTGACGGGCTCCTTGAGAACGCCCAGGCCAAAGGTGTGCATGTGCAGCGCCGTCTTCTTGACGCCGTGGGATTCAGCAACTCGCTGGTCACGTACAGTGAGGCGATCTTGCAGGCCACCATACGAAGAACGTTGCATCGGACAGCCCCATGAGATGTAGTGAGTCAACTGAAAGAGGGAAAATTGAGAATCATTGTTGAGAATTATGACCCGTAGAGAAAATGGACTTACAAATGGACTGATTTCAATGAGGGACATACACGCTCCCATGGCGATCATCGACGGAAGCGCTTCGTACCACATTTTCAGCTACACCGGTTTCGGTGAATGTTCTAGCAATAAGGGTTAAAAGTATAGGTGAAACTTGAGAACGGAAAATAAAAGAGGAATATTCACTTACTGGAACAAAACAGAAAAACAGAGACAAACACCGAGCAAACGCAAGAACACAGCTGACTGGAAAGGTCAACAAAAGGCAAAACTTAAAAATGTCCCACCAGACGTCAGCACTGTAATGCACCGACAATTTTTGAATTTTTTGAAAGCGGAATAATGCACAAGTTATCAGATAAAAAAGTTTTATTTTGTCAAATGTGAAGAGCAGTAGAGGTAGAGTATGCTTTAACAGTTGTTGCTATCAGTATAGTGTAAAAGAATGTTTGAAAAAAGAATCAGAATCAGTCGCAAAAAGTAGAGATGTTCAGAAGGAGATCAGGCGCTATTTGCTTCAGCCAGTGCCTTATTCGTCTTGATTATCGGCAGAACTCGGTTGTCTTCGCGATAAATCTCCTGCAGTGCCTCCTCATAAAGTTGGAAAATGGCTTTGACCATAGTTCGAAAAGCTTCAATCCTGCCCATCATGTGATCGGTGCATGGAACGTGGAAAGTGAAAAAGTGCGACAGCTGGAGGACGACTTTTTTCTCGTATACGTTAGCCTTGAACACAAAAGTGTAGCTGTAATCGCTGCAGATTTCGTCTACCTCTTCTTGAGTCACCGAACTGAGATCCACTGTAAAATAAAAATCAGCAGTTAGAATGACACACTATCTTCACTATCTCACGTATATTAGTTCTTACCCTTCAGTAGTTTATACACTATTCTCTTCAGTTCAAGCAGTCGATTGAAAGCTGCCGCGTGACTATTCTTGATTGCCTGACCCCTGCTGTAGCCATTGCCAGAGAACGAGCCCAGTGGATGAACAACGAAAACGTAGTTAAACTTCTGTAGGTGATTTTGGTACATGCATTCAGAAGTCGATGTGCGAGAGAACAAATGCTTATTTTGCTGTTTCAGCAATTTGATGATTTCAATGCCGTTCAAACTTAGTTTCTTTGCAGCGTAGACTGGAGAGAGAATACAGAGATTGATAATCAACATAATTTGAGCAAAAAAGACTTACTCTGTTTGAATCGAATGATCAACTCCATCAACTTTGCTTGGCCAGTTAGCTTATTGATGGAGAACTTTTGCTCATTATTTTCAAAAACCGGCACTGGAAGACGATAAATAGCCTGTTTGCCAGTTTTTGGCCCGTTCGCCTTGAAACTTTCTCTGGTAAGTCCAGCTGAAGCAATGATTTGCGAGGAAAATATTTTCAAAATTTTGCCGATTTGGTTAGCAAGCATCTTTTGGCACTCTGACAAATTGTTGCCTGTTCCTCTCACGGTGGAGAGCAGTACCGCAATAGTAAGTGTAGCATCAAATTTGCTGGGTCCTTTTTCTCGGAACTTCATCTCTACCAGCTCTGGGTTAAAGTCAATAAGAGCTTTCAGCCAACAAGCAGAAGAAGAGTTTTCGGTATTGCTGATCAACCGGTACGAAAGCACCAAGTGAACGAGCTTGTGCATTAAAGCGTACACCTGCAAGACGGAAATGTAACTAATTTGTTAGAAAAAAAATGACAAGTCCTTACATTTAAATGGGCAATTTGCAAAGCCTTCTCCAGCGTGTCACCAACGCCCACAAAGCTGCCCAAAATGTCGTGTTTCACTGTGTAGAAGAGTGTGCCGTTTTCCGATTTATGGTTTTGAGTAAACTCTTCCAAGTTGATAAACTGAATTGCGATTTTCACGGGACTGTCGTCAGAACGGTAGACATTGAGGAAGCTGTTGACTACTTCGGCGATGCATTTGAGACGAGATCCGGCAATGCCCATGTCCGGGTTGGAAGGCGGCAGTGCAAAGTCAAGTGGCTGCTGCTGCATCTCCGCCAGCAAGTATGGAGATTTGATAGAAGAAGAAGCAGTAGTACTTGTTTGCAGATCTTTGGTAAAGTTTGTGGAAAACTTGTTTTCAGAAAAAAATTGCGTTTTCTGGCAGTTGATAAAGTAGGCCAGTCGCCTGAGATATTCAAATAACTTTCTATAAGGTTCATTTTCGGCTTCATCTTCACTGACTACGCTAGTACCATTAAAGTTTTCTCCCAGAAAGTGTAAGCAGACGCTATGATGTACGAAGACGCCATTTTTCTTAACC